TCCATCGCTCTATCGCGCTCCAACTGTTCGCGCTCTCCATCCCTTCTTCAACGAGTTTCATACCCTCTCGTCGTGTCTCTCCCTCCTGCTCGACTTCCAAGAGCACAGCCAGCACTCTCGCTGCTCCTTACTATTCCGGGATACCCTCGAAAGTGCAGCCGAGAACTCGCCTCGCATTGATAATGCTCCGGCTATATTCCGCCGATGGGCGAGCTGCAGGCGAGAGATGCTCCAGGGAGAATTTTACCGGATAGAGGACGAGACCCGGGGAAAAGAAGCCGAGGATCCTCTCTCAAGAAGAAAGAGAGAGACTTACATCTGCTTCGTAACAGAAGAAACGAGCACAACGGAGATGAATATTAACCGACCTCCGCCACCAACATCCTCTGCTTTTGACTTACTGAACATTCCAGACCTCTCTGATTTGTCGATTTCTGTCAGCTTGCTCGATTCACGCCGAACCTCTCCTTACCATACTCTGTTTTATCATTATATATATCTATTTGATAGCTGGAGTTATGAAACGTGGAGATATCTAACATGTAAACAGTTGGGGTACTGCAACGTGTGAACGTCTGACGCGTAGAAATTTCACTCATGACGATTTCACTCCTAACGCGTAGATATTCGATAGGTAAATATACAGCGCGTAGAAATCAAACGTGGAGGTATCTGGACGTAGGAATTCAGCGCGAGGTATAGCAACGCGTGAACGTCCGATGCGTAGAAATTTCACTCCTTACAAAATAACGCGTAGATACTCGATACAGCGTTAATATTGAAAGTGTGGCAGCACATCTGACCCGTGGCGATATACCAGTTGGACGAAGACATGCACCCGGATCACCGTTTTTGTGCTCGAATCACTGACACTGATGGTACCAAAAGCAGTGCTGTATCGTTTTAAGTAGTCACAGAATGTTGAGCTTAAGGGTAAAGAGATTCGTGCCGCAAAAGGATCAGTCTCTCAGTGGAGAAAGTAATTTACTAATGGTTCTGCGCCCTGTATTCTTTTACTCCCTCGAAACGACCCTCGATCCCATAGCTCTGTTTCGTCCACACATCAAGTTGCCAGTAATTCAGCAAAAAATTTGTAAAGCGCTCAGTGCAACTTTAATTAATTCTCCCAAGTACCTTTTCGACCCTAGTAAATCACGCTGTTATCGTGACCTCCCAATTTCTCTAGCAACCATAAAAGGGATCCTCAATTTCGAAGCGATAACTCGAACACGCAAACTCGAGTTCTTCGAGTGCTCCTTTACGTTTCTTTTATCGGCGAATAAAGATATCGGCTGACCACCGTTCTCTGTCGCTTTAAGGATCGACGTCGGTCATCAAATCTTGCTTGCAATCGCGAGGAGCAGCGCGTAAATCAGCCATGATCGCGATGAACCCTCGACCTTCTGGGGGATGAGTCAGCGAGCTCGTAAACGAACCACCCTCGTTGCATCGTTCGACCCTCGTCGAGGACCAGCCTGCTTTCGAGCATCCCATGAACCGAACTATCGAATTGCTTCATCAAGAACGGACCAAGAATCAGGTTGATTGCCGCAGCTGGGTCTTGTAGCTAGGATTTTGGTGATCGATGTGTCTTCGAGACGGGGCAGGGGCTGATTGGGGATGAACGCGTCTGTTAGTAGCTAATTTACACTGTGTTAGAGTACCTAGGTACTAGATACTGGTGATTTAAGCGCGTTGTTGTTAGTCAATTATCATTGGATAAATAGAAACGATACGCGTGATTATAAACTCTTTATGTGGCATTGAAATATAGGTGATATGACAATGAACGAATATTTTATAATGTTTACAGTGTTTAATATTTATAATGTTTTATGAATATGTATGTAAACGTCCGATGGGTTTTAATAGTTAATGGCCTTTGAAAATAATTATCAGTAACACACCGATGCAGAGGTATGTGTGATTATAGGTAGACGAAGGATTAAAGCAATGGAACCTATGGACCAAGGTGCTTGAAAAACGTGTCCCTTTTGTGAGAATTCTATTTCGCGAGGAATGTCAAGCCAGGGAATATGTACACGCGCGGAATCCATTTCCGATTAGGGGTGCGAGCACCCTCGAGCACTCCGAGTAGGTCCTGGAATACGATCCTTACCGTTTCTGCATGCACATACATTTCTCTTAACTTCGTCCCCTGTTTGTATTTTAAAACGTTCAAAGCCTTCGGCTGCATATCGAGCCCCCGAGTTTCCGGGACATTTAATCCTTCGATCGATTTCCTTTTACTCTTCCGCGTTTAAATTTGAAGACTTTCGTAATGTTTCTTTACGGAGAAATATTGGACAGCGATTCGACGGAAAGAGTGACAGAATGTTAAAGAGATTAAAGCGGATGGTAAGTTTATTTTGCGAATAAAACCGAGGGATAATATTATTGAAAAGCTCATTGGCGATGTACGCTCTGGGAATACCTCCGCAATTTGATTGCATGTAACGTAGAAGCGAAAGCTATTTCCTTCGTTTATGAAATTGTCGGTTCACTTGCCTGCTTCCTTCAGCGAACCCTTAAGCGCCATTAATCAATGGGGAATTCAGCAATTAACGCTCTGGTTTTATTAACGTGCCACTCTAAACCTCGTCTCGGTTATCGAGCCAACATCGAACGGCCTTATATCGGGTGTCTCGTATTTCTTTCGACAACTTTTGTATGATCTAAAACGTTCGTACGATTACAGATTAATTAAGAATAATTTTACAAGTTCGTAATGATGTTAACGTTAAAGCGAACAATGTTACCCTGAATGAAAGTTGAAAATCGATAATTGTACATCATTAATTTTATATGAAGTACATATAAAAGGATTAATTATGGAAGTTGTGCATAACGACGTTTTGATTTATTTTTGATTCGAAGTTAAAAATTTGACGCTGTACGCGCGAGAAAAACGCGCGTGTACGGGAGCAAAGAGGCACTCGATCGCGAGTGCAATTATGCAGTCGATACGACGAGACAGCTCACACGGTCGCGCTCATTTTATAGACGAAATTTTATCGAGTCGCCGCTGGCCGGTGTAGCTCGATGAAGCCTTGCATTTTCACGCTTTTTCTCCACTTTTTTCCACGGTTCGACCTCGATCAGCGTGGTCGCCTGGCCAGCCGCTGGACCGCAGATTCCTTTTTTCAATTTTAATCCTCCCGCCGATATCGGATTCGAAAAAAGAACGAACGAACCATTCCTCTGACGTGATCCCGCGATCCTGCACGGCGAACCACCGTAAAATTGTCCTCGTTAACTGCTCGCTGGAAAATTCCCCGCGTGTCTTATCTGGTACAATCGGTCATCAAGTGGAGCTCTCTATAATTACATTCTCTGCCTCTCATTTAGAAATCTGGAGTCGTAGAAAATTGCCAATGTAGGAGTTTAAAAATTTTTTGAAGGAGTTTAGAAACTTGAGAGGTTGGTGCTTTAAGTGTAAACGTAATAAATGACGATACAGCAAAGTAGAACGGACTCAATCCACAACCACCTCAGTCAGTTCGCAATTATCCACCTCACAATGTACTGTTGAATACACCCTTGAAAGATAGCATAAATGCATCAGAGTTTGAAAACAAGGATGGAATCGTCGAAGTATAATCGTATCAGAATGCGTCAGTGGGGGAACAAAGTGTCGGTCAGAGATCCCATTTCCGGTGACAGGGTAACGGCTTTGCCTTTTCAGCTGGAACAATCGGCTGGCTGTCCCCTTCTTGGCGACGAGCTGATACGGCAACATAAATGTCACGACTGGCGTGATTCACGTGAAAGATCACGCGTGACCCGATGCAGCTGCGCGCCTCCAACCTCGTAAATGTTATTGTTGCCGTTAGTCTTATTACGTTTCGGATGCTGCTATTCTTCTTGTACGCTCCGAATGGCTCACACTGAAACGCACCCTCTTGCATTTTACTTTGATTAATCGCGTCTTTGCCATTTTATTGGCACTGGTGAAACGATTCGAGATCTCTGTTTAGGATGCATGAGCTTCACCGATAACTTTGAGAATAATCTTGACGGAAGATTTTCGTGTTCTTAAATAGGTGCAGGTAGTTAAGCGCGAACGAGGGTTTAATAACAGGGATGAATAATCTGAGTTTCCTCTGCACCGGGAAAATTTCATCTTCCATTAAGTATGACTGAGAGATCGTACGATTAAACGGTACCTGAGGAAACGTAAGAGATTTCTGTTGCAACTTCTTTATTACAGCGTTTAATATAGTGTTGTTCCTGCGATCTTTCGTAACAAGCTGCAAACAAGCGATGTATCAGTTTGCCGGTTGGCTCAACGAGACTTCTCCGGCTTCGTTATCTCTTGGCTTCATAAATCGTCCCGACTTATAACGTTCGCGATAATGATCAAAGTATCCTATTTCTTAATAACATTTTCTTTCGCGGAAGAATCATGATCGTCATTTTTTTTATTCTTCTTTCTACAACAGGTAGAATCCTCGAAAATTTGTATCGATGCATCGATTCCCCTCGGGTATTTACTTGCTTAAATAATGGTCGTTCGTTAACGACGAATTATCGGCAAGAATCGCGTATTATCCACTGCTCGTTAAACAACCCGATTATTTCGACGCTGCATTTAAATTACCCACCATATTTCATTAACCATGCCAATAACACTGTATTTACTGCATTATCTTTCATCGATCCGCGCGAATCTTGCAACGGGAGCGTTGGATAATCAGTACGCATCGGTGTAATTTGTTGGTTAATGACTTGCCTTTCATCAATATCGAACGTAAAAGTTACTGCGAACTTTTGGCAGTCAGTTTCAAACGTCGAATAATTGACTCGTTAGTTCGATTCAATTAAAAATTACGAGGTACTTAGAATTTTCATATACGAGGTGTCTTCATAAAATGTATTTTATGATGTTACAATAAATTTTATTATAACGAAATCGTACGAGTGATGAAGTTGATATCGATGGCTCGTGCGTTGTACATTTTATGGAAACACCGTTCGAGATAGAAGTAATTTGTACTCACGATGTCCTCGTGGAGGAGATTCACCGGTAATGGAGGCGATACGGGGTGCGTCTTCGCTGATTTCGATGTCAGCCGACTTCCGGTAGACGTCCGCGATGGAGGCGGTACAACGCAGGTGTAATCGGCCGTTTCTGAACATGTCGTTCGTTACCTTGAAATCTATACTCGATTTCGATACTTTGGAGTCGTCGTCTTGGGGAATCGCGTAGTATCTGGGTCTGTATACCATACTGTCGTTCGCGATCTGTAATTAGCAGATTTCATTCAATTAAAGATAGAACTTATTCATAAAGCAAGTATAACGAAATGAAATATTCTCTGAAAAGAAGTAAATTGTACAGTGTAATAAATATTTGTGAAAACGTGATCGAGCTCGTGTTCAATTTATTATAATTGCACAGAGTCTGCTTTCCAGCGCGATACCGTTTTTTACCAAACTGCAAAGCTTTTTATTCTTCAGCCATCTCTCGGGACATCTAATTACGAATTATTTTCGCTGGCAACGGCGAGAATACTCGCGCGTTAACAATGCAAGAAAACAGGCGCGTATCGAATAAATATTTAACGAGCGGAAAATGAAACAGATTAATCCTGAAAAGCAATGATATGCACGTATACATATATGCGCATACGTCGCCGGAGCGGCCATGAATTATTTCGCCGCGTTTACCCGGGAATCGTTTCTTGTTCAAAATTCAACGTTGATTTCGTACTCTGCCAAACTTGTTGCCGGTTAACACCGAAATTATACCATTTTATAACGGTACGGGCAAAACCCGTTGCAACCACCGAGCGCAATTAGCATATCTTAATGCAGGTCGACAAAATTATTCTGTTATCTCGGCAAGTATTTAAGTATCGCAAAACAAACTCCGTCGCGGCAGTAAACAACGATCCGCCGTAAAAGTCTGGCGAAACGATCCATAAAGGTAAATATCAAACGAGAGTAAAAGATAAATCGATACTGAAATCTCTGAGAGCTTCTTATTTTGTCCTTAACTTTTCCCGTGTAGATTTTTTGCCGAGACTCGCCCTAAGGATATTACTCGGTTTCGTAGCTCTTAAGGTAAATGAACGAGGGGGCACGGTATCCTTTTCTTCTTGCGTTCCAGTCAAGGGGAAAAGAAAGAAAGACAGACGGAGGAGCAAAGAGGAATCCAGCCAAGGTAGAAGAGTTCGCTCGACGTTATTACTTCGGGGAACAAACGAGGCTATGCATTAAGTCGACGGACTCGCGATGACGCTGGGACTAGGCGCACCCTCTTCATGAAACATAATGCATAAAGCTTGCTCCGCTTTGCTTCGCGCTTCTCGTATCAGCCAGGATTTGCAGCTACGTGATCCCCAGTCGTTATCGAAACCGATCGTAAGCTTAACCGTGTTTGCTCACCGATTTTTATTTAGATCGACGCTGATAGTTCCATGAATTCACGGTTCATAAGCAGTGACTTTACGCTTTTTTAAAGGGTGACGCGTTATCTCTGCGATCGTGTTTCCCCGTCAAAAGCAGCGAAAATGACCATAACGAGAGCACAGAGAAAAAGTCGGTATCCTTTGTTCTCTGCTTGTGAACGTTCATTACGCGGTCTGGCAATGTTACGGAATCTCCTTATGATATTATGTTCATTAGTCGGTGTGGCCATGTTGCGATCTCGCGTCACGCAATCGCACTCTACTACGGAATCGATACGTTGCACATCAATTCCTCTTGTAAATCCTGTTCAAGATCTGACGGAGATACTTCGGAAGAGCTTTGAATCTCAGGAAATCGTAAGATGTTACTTTGGTTCTAAAGGGTGTATGAATTTTCTTGAGTGTCGGATTTTGGTGCACTAGTTTCGAGATTCTATAGAAATTACTGTTCAAGCCTGTACGAGTTCCTTGAAATGATTAGGACTTCTAAGATGATTAAAACATATAACTGCTCCAGTAAATTATAACTAAAGATTAAACGGCAATGGTTACTCCAGAACCTGTACCTTTTTGACAGAAAATGGATAGCGATCGCGTTTAATCTTCAGAGGATATAGCGATTATGACACCGCTCATTAATTTCCGCGGTCAAACATAATTAAGCCGATAACCCAGGCTCGAGCTCTCATCAGCCCGTGTTCGACAGGGGATCGTTCAGAATTTATCGCGTGTATCGTGGAAGGTACGCAACGGCCATTATATCCAGCGAAATTTCACCGAACAGCGTGAAAAAAGTGAAGTACGAAGGAAAGCGTTTGTCACGTTGTCGAGTTTATGAGCGTTTTGCGTCCCGGCGGTACGTTGCATCGCGTCGCTGTAAATTCTGCAAGTTTTACCGTTTTCTCAAAATTCCTGTCGCCATCGTTTATCTTCCGGTGTCGGCGCGTAACGTACCGCTTCATACGAAATTCCAGCTGCGAGTCTTCTGGACCGAATCTAGGTCGCGTTCTTCCCGCGAAAAGGGAAGCTGACGTATGTCGCTGTGCACTTTTTTTCTCCCCTAAGATACCGTCAAATTTCTCCGAATTCGGGTTAATCGAGATTATCGAAATCGCTTCGCAACGCGAACACGTTTAGAGAAGAGAAAGCTCCGCAGGAAGCAATAACTTCGAACCAGAAGAATACAATTAAGCTTCATTCGACACCAGGAGTTTCCGAAAGCTTTCAACTTCCGATATTGCCAGACTGTGTACTCGAGTATGCAAACACGCGGCCGCGTTTTTTGCAATATCCTTACAGACACGCGCGGAGAGACGCGTGACGAGGAAAAGAAAATCGATGAGAACGATTTTCTAAGGCAGACCGGTTGCAACGCCACGAGAATCTAACCACCGGTTGATAAGTCCGCATTTTCTCAACGAACGATCCGCCATCTTGATCCCCGAAGATGGGAAGTTTCGTCGTTCGCCCCATTTCGGTTTCCGCTCGTCATCCTTCTATTCGAGCTGACGCGCTTTCGATAACTTTTCGATATTCTTTCAGCTATCTACCCACGGCGCTGCCTGCGAGAAGATTTAAAACCGCATTAACGTCGTTTGGATGCTGGAATAAATTTTGTTCAGCCAAGTTCGAACAGATTCACGTACTTCCGCTAGTTTTAGCATTTGCTCTTTCAATATTTCAAATTTCATATTCTTCGAATGTTCGCCTTTAAATTCGCGGGACGAAACTTGAAAACCTTATAAGATTTCCTAAATGTGAGTCGAAATAGCGCGTTAAAAATTTTTTAATTAATTCTCTCGATCTTGGAACTTCGGAATCTTGAAACCCTTGACCTTTGGAATTTCAGAATTTCGGTACTTAGGAGTTTCGAAACTCTTCACCTACTCTCGCAACCTTGAAACTTTGAAACGTGTAATACAACCCTTACCGGGTCAAAACACGCATCCAGCATTAAAACAATTGCCAACATTCCGGAACAAAAGAGCTTCGAGGAGTCTCCAAGAAGGAAAGAAGGTTATCGAACTTGGGCAGTTTTGCAAATGACCGTGGGTCGCAAGAGGAAGCGCGAACGTAAAAGCAAGAGGAAGGTTGTCGACGATGGGCAGATTAGTCGTCGAGGAGAGGGTGACGCGTGTCAGCGTAACGGTAGGGGTCGAAAATGGCAGGGCGAAATTGTCGGGATTCGCCGGTGCACTTTCCCAGAACGGCCATTGTTATCCCGGGCTGGACCAGCGAATTTTCAGTTACGCTCGAGACGACCGCTCCATTCCCATTCCGCTCATCGAGGAACTAAATCGCCGCCGATTTCGGCTCTCCTCGTCGGCCTGCGTTAATTATAACCGATCCCATAAAAGCGACCGAATTTATTTCCCTGCTGTCGAGTCCCGGAAAATTATTTCGTCAAATAAATCTGCCGGCCTGCCCGTTCACGGAGTTATCGACGTGCTCTCGAATCGAATATCGCGTTACATTCGCCTCGTGGAACATCGAACAAAAATCACTCGGTATAACTGATATCTCGCGAAGGTTGCTCAAAACATTCCAACAAATTTAGCTGCAGGAATTTTATTGTACGATTTTAACTTGGGTAATTTTAAAATTTAACGTTACATTTGCGTGAATGCTGCATCGCTAATTAAATCGTATTTACTGAGAGCATCAAAATTTGTTGTGACAGAGTTTAAAGATATTTCATTGATAACAAATTTATGTTTCAAGCTTGCGATACAGTTTTGGGATCCTATGTGTTCCTATTCCACTTGTCTGACCACTTCATATAGTATTCATGTCTGACTGCGTACTCATTCTACTGTACGATCTCTTATTGTTTTATTTGTCGTGTTATTCCCTACTCTACCGTCTAACTGTATGTAGTCTCAATTTGCTGGTGCAGTATTATTCTACTGTCGTGGCTGATCACTCACGGTCTTGCACTACTGTCATACAGCTTACTTCGTCTATATGCGTTTCTGATCCATCGTTGCTTATAGTTGAACACCTGTGATCTTATTATGTACGATCCCGTTCTACTGACTGTCCATGTCTGACCACATACGATCTTACGCTACTGGCTGCCAGCGACACACCATACACTGACCCCAACTACTGCGTAGACACAGCAATTCCATTCTACCGTTCGGGCTGCCTGTGGTTCTGTTCTACTGTCCGACCACCTGTGGTTGTAATCTACTGTCTGGTTATGCAAGACCACTCTCTGTACTATTTTACTGGGTGGACAATGCGGCTTTTGCTGTTGTACAAGTTTAAACGTGTAATATATAATAATGCAAGTGATTCCGCAACTTGGTGGATGAATTAGTGCATCGGGTAGATAATGGAAAATTTGTAACGAGTGGTAGTAATAATTGTTTTTAAGCGGAGTTAGTCGTGTATAATCGCCAGGACCTTTATTCGAGCGTAACCTTAAACTTTATTCGAGCGAAATGTATCTTTTGTTAGAAAAGAATTACATTGTTGATGGAGTAGGATGTTCGAGCAGTGTATCTTGCAGTGTTTTCTGGCATCGGTGTTTCATTCGGCTTTGTTTTTCAATCAGCGCCGCTACTATAACTACCTGGTCATTTTGCGTTTCAACGGCAACACGAGACGAGCTTTCGTGTACACGATGCGGCGACGGGAATTAAATTTATCGAGATCCATCGAGATACATATCCGCCCAATCGGCAAGTGCACGGGAACGAGGGGTGTTACGGTGCCTCGTATGCAAATAAATCGTTATTCCGCGGTATTTGTTAAATCAACCAAATTATTCCGTTAAATCGCAGTGTCGCCGCGGCCCGACGCGTTTAACCGGCTACGATGGCCGGGGGTGAGTTATATGTTTTCGATCGACGAAAACAGCCACGATCGAAGGAACATTAATCGTTCTCATTCAACACGCATCTCCCTTTTTATCCTCCTCTTTCGTGCTGATTGTTATTCCCGGTGGATTGTAACAAAAATTCAAATATTGTTGCGAATATTTCAGCCAGTCGTTTCCACCGCTCGACAAAATACGTATTTTTCATTTGCACTTTTTTACCGTTCTATATTTAGTATCGGCGCAAATGTCGGACTTGTACAGTGTTGCTTTTATACAGTTGCCAAGTAGCGGCAATAAAATGTTCAATCTTTTTCTTTAAAGGAGAAGACGTACAACGTAGTTTTTCTTTCGGATAAGTTTCATTCAGGATATCGTTCGCTCAAAGTGCTTCCACGGTCAGCTAGTTTTATCCCGCTTCGTTCCGTTCGGGCAATATTTCTACCAAATTGGATTCGAGCTATCAAATTCCATTCGATTTAGACTTTCTCGGGCAAAGTTCCTCGAGATTTGTTTGGGGGATTTGTTGGCGAGACAAACGATGCCTATTAAAGTCCAGGACGAGCTGATTCGAGAGGTATATAAGAGGTGTAACAGGGAAAACGACATTCATTAGTCTGTCCTTGGTCCGACCATTCCTTATCCCGCCGCTACTGCATGTCCTTTCTAGGTGTCCAATTCGCATTTACCTTTTGGAACCTTATTTATTTGATATTCCACTTTATTTATTTGATGGTCTACTTATTTAAAATTTAGTAATCTCGTATTTGCATTAAACGATCTAAAAAATGGAGGAATACGAGGGTTAAAAATGCTACCCCTCGCAATCCCAGCCTCTCGGAATTTCATCTTGGCTTCTTCGAATCTTTCAAAATCCCTGGAAGAAATGGGACGAGGCATATTTCATCGAACCCTTCTTAACATCAGATTTCTCTGGCGCAAGATTTGCCAAGCGTAGCGCCAGAATCGTAGATTTACCGAGAAATGTGGAACATCTCGGCCGACGCCTTCCTTCAAAATTTACCCTCTCCACGAAGAAGGAACTGCTTCGGGTCTGATCGAACTCGATCAAGAATCGATTGTCGTTTGTGACGAACGGCACGACGCGATTGTCGTTTGTCGAACAAACCACCGAATCGCGAACATTCGTGTGTTTGCACACTGGAATGACTCGTTCACGCGGACAAATTAATTACGAATTATAAGCGGAACATCAAATTGGTCTAATTAATTAATCCGTCACAATGGCGCTGAATATGTATTTGCTTCGTCGCTCTTATCCTTCCTCGATCACGGTATTACCCGGCAATATTAATAATTCACTGGAAACAATCGCGGCCGATATTATCGCGAATTGTCGCTGAAAATCAATGTCTACTTTTATCGAACAAATAGAACGCTATATGTATCCACCCCGATAAGTTCATCGAGAAACGCGAAACTACAACTTCGTGGCTTCAAATATTTTTTATTCGGTTCGTGCTACACACACTCGAAAACTGTTCAAAGATCTACCACCTCGAACACGCAATTTACACTCGAGAAAGTTTCCAACGGTTAGCAACAATCTCGTTCAACTTTTACAAATAATCTTTCAAAGCAACCTTCTCATCGATAAACACTCAATCTTCTCGAAGAGCGCGAAACTACCGAGCGTGAGCGAGCGAAGAATTGAAACGTAAATGTAACAGAACGTTGCAAGGATGTAGTCGGCGAAGAGGTCGGTGGAAGTTTAATCATCCAGTAAGGTCACGTAGCTACGGGTCGAGGACGTACTCGTGGAACGGTGGGCGGCCAAGGCGAGTGCTAGCTACCGATATACTTACCAGATCTCCGTTCAGCTTCCACGTAATGGCGGAGGCGGGTCTGGAGTTGCCGGTTGTACAGTTTGCACGAAGCATCTCGCCCACTGCTATGCGATCCTTTTCGATGTCGATCGTCGGGTCCGTTTTTGGGGCGTCTAAAGCATAATAATTATGTCGTTTAGCACACGCGATCGCCGGCTCGACCGTTGGCGCTCAGCCAACCTCGTCGGGTTGACAGGGTTTCCACCCAGACACCTGTACGAATTGCTTAGGCGACAGCTTTCTTAATTGTCGCATTTATATTTTTAGTCGTGAAACTATAGTGAAATATTCACTCCGGATAAGTGAATAATTTTTACCATTTGGAGAGCGAAATTTAATAAATGGTAACGTATCTCGAAATAATTTGCTACTTACAGAGAGAAATTATTTTCTGATTCTGGGTTGTGGGCCATACACTACTTGTCTGACCACGTACTGGTCCCTATCTACTTGTCTGACCATGTGCCGTTCTCTATCTACTTATCTGCTCATACACTGTTCCCTATCTACTTGTCTGACCACTTCTAAAGTTACTATCACTTCTCCACTGTTTTTGACATTTATTACTTGCACACTCCTCTACTTGTCTGATCACCTGCCTTCTGACTCCTTCGACTTTTACGTTCTTCCACTTCTATTTTATTTTCTTATACGCTTCTTGACATACATAAATTTTTGTCTCGAACTTACCTACTACTTCCATTCTCGCTCTCTCGATCATCGTGTGAAACGAGGGATCTCCGGCAGACACTTCACATTTATATGTGCCTGTCAGCTTTCTAGACACGTCAACCAGGGTCACATCGTTTGTGTTCGATTTGGAAACCTGCGAACAGAAATTGTTTGGGTAAACATTTTTCAAGATAGGAAATATGCGATACAGTATAAAGCTCTTGAGAAAATGTTCGTCGGATGCAGCGATAAGGTCGAAGATAATCGAGAAACGACGGGGTAGAAGTAATTGAAATCCGGGGAAGAGGAATATCGACGAATTGACGGAAGAAAACATTTTACCGGTGAAACAATTTCGAGCGAAATGGTATCTAGAAGCGGAGAAGGAAGTTCTTCGTGGCTGCCGCTATCAGATTTCAAGCGGTTCGATCGCCAGTAAAAGCATCTCGCATTGGCGGTGTTTCAAGCGAGCAACTCGCCCTCGCTCCAAATTGACGCGCCGTTTCCGAAAGCGTCGGCGATGCTTTTCGGGTTTCCCACGTTTAACGATCGACCAACGAAACCGCGTCTGCGAATAAAAATCTCATCCCCCTTCCGAGGAGTTCGGTCTCTAAAAGTTCGCCGAAAGAGAAGATTCTGGCAAATCTTTGCGGCGAATCATTTTATTTTACTCGCATTAATTGTTCGTCTGTACGGGAAATATTATCGAAGAGAAGCGTATTCGGTTTAATGCGATGTCAAGTCCTGTATCATAAACGAAGAAAGGAATTCTTCATTCAGCAGGTTTTGACAAATGTCCCAACAATCGTGATTCAACGAAACCGAACAATTCACCGACGACGTTTCAAACCGACGAGTATTCGTCCGCGTATTTTCAATGTCAATAACGATGATACGGGAACTTTATAAACAAAAACCGTGCATCCATGACGAACCCTTTTGTCAGGATTCTCGGGGGACGCGTATAATTTCTCGGATCCTCCAATTTCCTCTCCTCCTTCGTTCCTCTCATTCCCTTTTCTTTATTTCCGGCTCGGTGCCGTTCCTGGAATTACTTTGTATTCCACGCGACTATCGACCTTCTATCTAACTCTCTCCACGTCTAAATCTCGATCGGACTGTATTCCGCTCCTGCGTTTCATCCCCCTACTCGTTCGAGCCGTGCAATCATTTATATGCATCGCGGCGAGTTCGTCTGCCTGCTTTACAAACTACACCGGATCCAGGGACAAGTCCTTTTCACCGCTTCCGACGACGACGGTGGAAGCGTCGCGACGCGATTCGTCGATCGAAACACAGCCCCGAACGCTTCGTTCAAAAGTCACCCGAGTTACCCGGCAAAATTTCCTAGAGAACGACCAAGATTAATTCCACGAGATTTCACGGTTATTTGCAAAGATTTTCGTGTTTACGCTGCTCTCCTTCCCCGTAATCCGATCTGCTATCTACTTGTCCGATCACGCGACGTTTCCTATTTACTCTGCTAAACTAATGGTCTATATCCACTTGTCTGACCACTTACTCTACCTCCGCTACTTGCCCACATTTACTTACTTTTCTGGTTCATATGTCCGTATCTACTTGTCTGACCATATTGCTTCTTTGTCCACTAAGCGTTCCTATCTACTTGTCTGACCACATCTGTATCTACTTATTCGATCAGTACTCTATGTAATCGTTAACCGATTCTACTCTATTGTCTACTTCCTACTGTCTGATCACCAGCTATGATCTTTCAAACTTTGTTACCTTACTCCCCTTCATATATCACAGTCTGATGTCTCATTCTACCTCGCCTACTCGGCAGCCACTCACGCTATCGTTACATAATAGGTAAATGACTATAGCTTCCCACAAATTTTGTCCCGTCACCCCCAGAATTAGCAGCAAGTAAATTATTTACAAAGGCTCTAGCGTTATAGGCAGTACAGCGAAAGGGTTGAACCTTAGCATTATCCGCCGTCCATTTCTCTCGCTGTTAACGTTTTAAGCGAGGACGAAGTACAAAAGAGTGGATAAAGTTGGGAGAGCGGCATAACGTGGCGTACAGTTTGTTCGGCTCGGTGTCGCGATAACGTGTAATGACCAATAAAAGAAGCTGCACTTAAGTGGCGATAAAAAGGTGGGATTATCGGCGCAGTTACGTCGAGACGTTTAGGTTCAGGCTTATCACCGCATCGGTCGAACATAATCTCGCTCTTAACTGCGCTCGCATCATGAATGAACTATCTCTTCTCTATACGTCTTTCCTGTAAATATTATACGATCCTCCGTCACTTCTCCGTCTTCGTGGCGGCGAAATTTAAAGCATTGCCTGAAATTTACGAGCGACTCGGCGTTGATGCACCTGGTCGTTTCGCTGTTATTTGATTCGGCTTTTACGAATAGACTGTTTATTTACTGCTTAGCAATAAATAGCCTGATTAAAGGAAACTTCGTTTAATAATGTATCGGATTTCGATCGAATAAATTTCAATTCACGTTCGTTGTCATATCGCGAATTTCAATAAAATTGTATAACCTCGTGTCTCGGGTCCCGACGAGAAAAATTGCAATGTCAATAAGACAAACCCGGGTAATCCTGTTTTGTAAACTACCTTAACATCAATCCTCCGAGACTGAGCGTGTACCCGGTGCTTCTGGGAGCTACACGTTTCTACATTTATCTTTCGGAGCATCGAAACAGACAGGACAGTCTCGAAATCCTCGTCGATTTACCGGAGACAATCATTGGTGTCGTTGAAAGAAGTTCTGTTTTCTCTCCGGCCGGTTGTTACGACGCGGAAAAATGATACCGTCGGTTGAAAAGAGTTGCTCCCCACGGAAGTCGATTGGAAATTTTATTAAAGATCCCTATCGGCGAGCGAGCGGCGCGTCGAATGAAAAATTTGTTTTCCAGTGTCTCGGCTTGCGGAACGGTCGAGACGGAAACGAATCGACTGGTCGATTTCGAGTGAAACGGGAAGCCCCCTTCGTATCTTGTCAGCATCGATTCTCAGCCACCACCTTTGGCAAATACCCGCCAGCCCTTCTATTTATCTGAAAGTATCGGGCTGCTCGATTCTTTCTTCTCGAGGACACTTTGAAGCTCACGGATTACGTTCTCGCCTTGTCCTTCTCGAATCTCCTTTACACCCTTTATTCGAATCGATTCGCCCAGCTTTGAACGACTACCTGCCATCTTCCTTTCATTCATGAGCCTCGAATTGGCTGGAGAAACTGATTCTACGAGTATTTGTTTCAGCTACGCGAATTAATCGCCAGCTATTTCTCCGCGTCGTGCAGGCGATTGCGAACGTTTATGCAGGCAAAATGAGACACGGTAATTTATTCGAAAATTATCGTGTTTTGTTGTTCGCTATTACACGTTTAATTAATGTACCCATGGCGACGCTTCAAAAAAATGATAACACGGTAGACAGTCGATGCAACGAAAGTTTACCGCGGGATAATGAAAGAGAAGATAACAAAAGTAATTTAGCAAGCTAATTGTTCCTCGATTCATCCTGGTAATTGCCGCTAAACGTTGTTTGCGTATATTGTTCGTAACATAACGCTTTCCTCTTGTAATTTCTGCGAACAAAATTCGATGCATGTTTGAACAAATTAAATTAAAAAAATGCTGGCACGGAGTTCGGAGAATTCATACGGTTGACCATTCTCCGCATGTTTCAACAAATGTTTACGATTTACAGATACGACAAATATCGCTTATATTTGTTCCAGCACTCCTACTTTCGCATTTTGTTTGCCGTTTTCAATATTTCCATTCAAGCGGCGAATAAATTTGTACGATACGCCGAACAGTCTATATGATTTGCCTTTTTTCTCGTATCGCGGGTAAATAGAACCGAAACGACATTTGTTTGCCCTTTTATCGAATCGAAGTAACCCGATTGAATTTGTCTCGACATCGCGCCCGGAAACACGGGTAATCACAAATGTATCGGACCACAAATCGAGGGTTTAGCTCAAATATTGTCCACTTCCTCGATAATACTCGAGATTTCGAAACTTCAAAATCTCCTGGCGATAAATATTTAACCGGAAGATCGGTAGAAGCGTGGACAGAGGGCGCAGAGGGGGTGGAATCGATAGGAGTAAAACACGGGAGTCGCTTGACCCAGGCTTGAAATTGAGTGGAAAGGGTAGTCGAAGGGGTCGTGTCGCGGTCGTAGCGCGAGTCATAAATCAGCCCTATCGATTCCTTTCGACCAGTCCACGTACATGCTTCACCTTTGCACCCTACGTGCGAAAGAGTGCCGGCCCCATCCGGCCAAAAGGAGGGTGGATGTCGACAAAAAGTTTCACCCCGCTGCCACGACGAGCTCCCAAGACTTTTATCGAGTCCACCTGCCGCCACTGTCTCCGACAAACTACACCCTGTTCCAACTAACTTTATCGCCTGAAATATTGACGCCACTTTTCGAATTCCACAAGTACTTTCTACACGGCTCGCCGTTATACGAGTATTTTCATTCTTTTTACCACTTGCATTTTTTTTTGAGCGGAACTTTCGAAGTACGGGATTTTTTATTTGATTGGGATTCGGAAATTTGTGAAGCTGAGAGTCTGCAAATCGGTAGGTTTGAGGTTTTGAAAATTTTTTAATTGGATAATACAGCAATTCTCAGTTTCCTCATTTTCTAAATTTTCACTTGTCAGTATTTTCGACACAACCTTCACAGTTGTCCATCACCGTGAACGGCGAGTAAAAAGAACGGTCCTCCAGATGGAGGGTAGAAAAATCGGGACGCCACTCGGCCTTATCTCGCCTCGCTTTCGAAACACAGACCAGAAACTGATAAATGGACGTCCTTGTATCGGCTCGCGAAAGAAAATTGCAACTTTTTCTGCCACGTTCGCTTGGTTGGCTGATTTTGCGACCGATAACGTTCGTACTCTGAAATTTATCGACGGAACTTCCCCTGTGGACTGGTTTTACCGAAATTCTCCAAAGCCTTTTGCAATTGTAATACTTGCAACCATGACGGATGAATAAACAATTTCCCCGAAGCTACCTTTATTAATTGCCGACTCGTTCCAAGGGTAATAGGTCTGTTTCGACCGAATCCAACGAACGACTTAACGAGACTTGCTCCCGTGAACTTTTATCGAAGTGGTCATTAGGAGAACCGGAGTTTAATTGCGCGCGTTAATTGAGAAATCGGGACGTCTGGCTTTTGCGACAGACAACGGGCTATTTTTAATCTAATTTCGACTAGAGAAGAATTACTACGATAAATAAATCATGTTTACAGACTAATGCACCATACGCGTAAACACGGTCTAATTACAATATGTTAATATGGATGAAACTTTAATTACCATATACAAATTTTGAATTTACAATTCAAAGTCGAGTCTAAAATTGCTTTTAACCGAGGATAGTTGATACTCGTTACGGTGCTTTGTCGAAAATAGATCTCTTTTATCAATTTATGCAGTAATTTATCGACACGGTTCTACTCACGTTTACGTATATTCCATCCACGGGATAGATGGAGTACGGTGGCTCTCGCTCGGGCACGTATCGATAGAACTCTTTCTCTTCGAGAAACCATTGTATCGTGTACAATGGAACACCTTCTAGGTCGTAATGGCAGGATAGTGTCACTGTGTCACCCGATCGTACCACTGCTGGCACGTTGATTGTCAAATCTTTCAAGCCGGTTGCACCTGCAAACAAATAATCATTCTCATTCTTTATACAGCGAAACCTTACAAGATACATACATTCATAGATGCACTATTTCATGAACTCAACCATTGAGAGCTTTATCAAAGAAAATTTTCATATCGGAAATTCGAGATTAACCTATATGCATATGTCCACTTCTAAACTTTAAAGTTAAAGAAAAGAAAAAATAAAATAGCTCAAAATCTTCATAGATCGTGCAATTTTGTGGATTTTCGTTTAGAAGATAATTCGAAGGCGAACATGTTTCGTCCGAATTTGTACCAGACCAATTATTTAACCCGCTAATTTGATGGTCCGACAGAAGAAGATGTCGGAATATACGACAATTAAGGGCTCGTTCCCAGCGCTAATCTAATCGCACGAGCTAGGTCCATTTAGACCGCCAAGTATCTCTTTAAACGGATAAGCGACCTTTGGGTATTACCCGTAGTCTGCGAAACGTCTAATCTTGACGTTCCGCAGTATCCACCTTTAGATCCAGCCCGTCGCTCCCTTCTCGTGTTAATGCAGCTTTCTGTCTTGTTTCGCGCGAATCCTTTCACAGGACCTGCTACAATACTGCCGGAAAATTTACAAGCTTGTTCCAGACCGAAGATTAAGGAGATCCCTTTAACAAAAGGGAGGATTGTGGTTTAATCGAGCGAACACTCGTTATTCACACAAACATGATAAATATGCCAAAAATGTGGACTTCAAGATTTAAACCGGATGAAATATATTTTTAAAGTTCGTACGGACGTCAAATTCCTCCTTTGAGGGAAAAGCCTCGACGTCGAATTATCTTTCGAATACATCGCGTTCGACATTTTTCGAACATATTTCTATGATTTCTCTCGTGTTTAGTTTTATCGAGCCCTGTTTGGTCTTCCATTCCCCCACGGATTTATTTGGTTTTCCCATAGGAGCACGTCGAGTCGAACAAACGCAAGGTAATGCGATGCATTCCTTCGTCCGTTTCTCCTTTCTCGTCTAATTTCATCGTTCCTCCCCGAGTGGAAACACGACGCCGACACAATCCGAGATACACCGAGCACTCAGCGTGCATTACACTAAAAATACAGAAATTCTGCCGAAAGGAATCAACTTTTATTCCAGCGCCATCGCTTGTTTTATATAACAGTCACTTTTCGAAGCACAAATAAAATACTGCTTTACTTCGCGCGATTGTTTCTGTACGCTTCGTGAAAGTGTTCCTTTTGACCGGCGAGGTAAGAATTCTGGAGCGTCTTTGTGTGTAACAGCCACTTCACTGTTCTTCAATTTATTTTATTGTTTGAATCTGGTCTGACAACAAATGACCTGTTCTACTTGCTAGCTGTGCAGCTTCTACATGTCTGACCTGTTTCGCTCTTTTGTACTACCCTTTCGATAATTGCCTATTTTTCTGTCTGATCGTGTCTGATCATTTACAATCCTGTTCTACTTGCTGGCTGTCGTTCTACTCGTCCGACCTATTTCGCTTTGTTGCACCAGCCTTTCGATAATTGCTTATTTTTATCCTGTTCTATTTGTTTAAATACGCAATTTATCGTTTCTGTTCGTAACGAGCCAAAAAGCGTTCGTCTGGTTAAATATCGATTTTGAAAGAAAAATGAAACTCGACGTCCACCGAGAGCGTTTTTACTATACATTGTGTCTCTGTAGAACCGCTTGAACAGTCCTCTGGCAACGTGTCGGTTGGATGCTCGGTAAACGATACAGACTTATTCGGAGGAGAACGTTCCCACGGGAATACGATGGTCGTTTGTGCGGCCTCGTGCTAGTGAACCGGATATGACTCGCGGCACGAGCGATATTGCCAATTCCGCGCTACGGAACAATAACTCCGTTTGAAAAAGAATTATTCTCGCTTTCGTCTCTCTAATTCTTTCGTTCTCTTTTCTGGAACACTGCGATATTCGTGTCTCTTAATTTTACGCCAAGATAAAAGGTTCGTTGACCATGCAAAAATACATGGAGATAACGCTACTATTTATATTTTCATTTTTCATTCTAGGCCGGAAAAAAATAGTGACCATATATTATTCGGTTGTCCGGTAATCGCGCACTACTTGTCCGACGAGTATTTATACACCGTTTGATCCGTGGCTGTCCATTATTCATCTAGTCGTTGACTGACATTATCTACTTGTCTGACCAGTGACCACACATTATTTAGTTGTTGGGCAATCATGTGCTACTCGTCTGACCAGTATTTATACACCGTTTGATTTGTAAGTGTCCACATTCTATTCATTTAGTCATTGACTGTCATTATCTACTTGTCTGACCAGTGACCATATATTATTTAGTTGTTGGGCAATCATGTGCTACTCGTCTGACCAGTATTTATACACCGTTTGATTTGTAGGTGTCCACATTCTATTCATTTAGTCATTGAATGTCATTATCTACTTGTCTGACCAGTGACCATAATCTACTTGTCCTTTCAACCAGTACATACTATTTTCTTTTACTAGTATCCATCCACTACTTGTCTTATAATTTATCTTAGCCTACTTGTCTGACCAATTGTATTGTACAACATGTCTAATGAGCTGCTACATACTACTTGTCTGACCAGTTGCCGTATACCACTTGTCTGACCAAGTCCCTTGAGCGACCTGTCTAATGAGTTATCCTGTACTACTTGTCTGACCAATTACATTGTACAACATGTCTAATGAGCTACCATATACTACTTGTCTGACCAGTTGCCTCGTACCACTTGTCTGACCAACTCCCTTGAAGAGCCTGTTTAATAACTTACCATGTACTACTTGTCTGACCAATTGCATTGTACAACATGTCCTGTCAGTTACCATATACTACTTGTCTGACCAGCTACCTCGTACCACTTGTCTGACCAAGTGCCTTAAGCGACCTGTCTAATGAATTACCATGTACCACTTGTCTGACCAATTGCTTGTACCACATGTTTGATCAACTGCCTCGTACAACCTGTCTTACCAGCAACCTTGTACTACTCGTCTGATCGATTACCATATACTACTTGTCTAATCAGTCACCTTGTCTTACTTGTCCAATCAAGTTTCTCGTGCAACTTGTCTAACCAGTAACGTTGTAATACTTATTTGATTAGTTACTTCATGCGAGCTGTCTGATCAATTACCTGTTCTACTTGTCTGATCAGTTATCTGGTACAACCTGTCTTACCAGCCACTTTAAACTATTAGTTTGAGCAGACACGTTATACTGTTAGTCTGTTCAATAACGTCATTTGGTGCTATAATCGTACATGATTGACCAATGAAACTTGTAAGGTCTATACCTGATTTCTTTCAGTAAAATATCTGAAGACGTGGAATGGTCTCGTTTTTCTCAGGTCGTATCGAACGTGTCGCGGCTGTACTCGAGGCATCTTCGAAGGCTCGGTAATCCGGATTAGACCGTCTCAGAGCCGTGGATCAGCGACACTCACGAATACGCAGCTATCGAGGTATTCGTGGTATTCGATCGATCGAGCTTCCGTCGTGCGAATCGCGTACAAATTAGTCGGCAATTTCGGAATGCGAGCGTTCAATGGAATCTCGCGATCATGATGAAAATTGGACGCGTTTATTCTGCAACTATATAACGGACGAGTCAATTAATCTGTGCAGTTTGAACGCGAATAATGTTCATTAAGCTCGATAAGTGGTTCGAGGGTTCTTTGGAGAAGCGTGATGAGTTAAACGAAGCGGAACAGATATAGCGTGTCGATAGCACGATTCAGCTTTATTCGCTCGTTTAAAAATAATAAGCAAAGATGAATCGATTGAATTCGTTAAACGAACATATACTTTTTCCGCGAAATGTTTTATGTCGGGTAATGGAGAAAAACAAGAGTTTCGTCGACGCAATGCGCTGACTGCGAGATAACTCGTTTTATCGGCCATTATTCTGATCCCGGACAGAAGCTATGCAGTTCGGATAAACAACGCGAATTTCGACGCGATGCCACACAAACGTAGCACGCCTAGAGGGTGAATGCTCGTTGGGAACGTGCAAGTGGAACGTTAAAGTTTGCGCGAAAAGTTTGCAATCGCGAATACAGCGAATTTTAGGCACCGTTTTTCGTCGGATTACTTTGTCCATCGAGGGTTCGGCAAAAAAATACGAAACGTTTCTACGGTAAATTAAATCACGGCGTATCGGTTTCGTTAATTGAACGAAAATATCACCTCGTCGACTAATTTCTAGCCGTTTCCGTCCGACAGCGGAAATTGAACAGAACTATAAGAGAGTGGGGGAATTTTGACGCGCGTTTAATTAACGCTGTCGAAACTTTCCACGGTTAAACGGAATTCGTTGAACGCTCGAATAAATAAATATTAGTTCGATATCGAAACCTCGCTACTAGTCTTCCATTAATTATTATTGAACGATGCATGATATTTGTCCTACAATGACAGAAAACGTTCTAATCGTAATACGAATTCCGTGCACGAGAAGAAGTAAAAACGTGACCAAACGAACGTGGACTACGATATTGCTTCATTTCAGCGTTGCTGCTAAGTGAAATACAGGATGGACTCGCAATGGGTGTGTTTGAGCCAGCCCCGGCCTAATTACGTGGATAATTATCGAGGCTGATTGGTAGGCGGCATCGGCGTAGCCCACTAATGAATATGGATAAATCGTGAGTGGGCCGATATTGGTTTTCGCCAAAACCGTCCACCGTGCAAAATCGTTCGTTTATGGAAACGTGTCACGAGCCTCGAATTCGCAAAGTATTTCGAACATTGATGCCATTGTTTTATCGCCTATTCAACTTTCAAATTAACATTCGCATTATTATCTCAAATTGCAACTGTACAATTTATGGAATCATACATTCACTTTATCTTACTGTATGCATAGTATTTGATCATTACTTAGGATCTGAAGATTTATGTCTCCTCTCATCTGTATATTCCACTGTGTCCACAGTCAAATTTCATAGCTTGTCTGACCACGCCACGCGTGCATAGCTAGCTCACTTGTCTGATCAGTGACG